GCACAAGTTAGAAACTTGTCCACTGATGAAATGCATATGGGCGTTCAGCACCGTGTAGGCTCCCGTAATGATAATGGTGAGCGGTTACTTCATTTGTGTGAAGCTGCCCGCTTATTTCTTGCGAGCGCTAACTTCCGACACAGCACTCGCCGGAGGGTGTGTGCTGACCGGCGGATGCGTTTTGGCGGACGCCCATGACTACGCTGTGAGCGCATTGACACCAGCCAAATGACAAAGCTAGCTGTTCTGAATGCTTGTCGAACTACACTGACATACGAGTTGAGCAAGCGCTCACTGGAAAAAATTGGTGGTCACTGGTTACAAGTTTACCAGACTTTACTAGCAGCAGGCAAATGCTCATATGGTATGTCTAATGGCCAACATGGACTTTGGGTCTCTTCGCGGTCTCTGGAACTTATGGTTGCTCTCCGGCATATCCCGGCTGGAAGCGAACACATTGAAACTGGCAAAGAGCTCCCTGCAAGACTCCGTGCTAGCCTGAAGAGAGACCGCGAATCTTGGTGGTCTCTTCGTACGTCAGAGCTGGAAGTGGGCGCTGCCCTTGGTAACCATGGTAAGTTATTCCGGCTGATACGGGAAACGGGCAGCAGGAGACCTGGTGTTAGTGAAACAATTTGGGATGAGAGTGGACTGCTTATCCACAGTTTGTCAAATCGTTTGGAGCGTTGGGCTGAGCATTTTGAATATCAAGTTAATCTGCCGACATTGTTCGATTCCTCGCTGGCCAGTGATCGCCCTGCTCCGTGGGCTGTCCCTTTGGATCCACCTACTCGCCCAGAATTCGAACGTGAGATCGGACTGTTGAAGTTGAACAAAGCCGCGGGACCAGATGACCTACCTCCAGCACTCTTCAAATTCAGGGGCTCTGCTCTTGTTGATGATTTACATCAATTACTAGTGAAACTGTGGGGGCGGAATACTGTCTTAACCGGCTGGAGCCGCTAAGTTATTGTTCCCATTTTCAAAGAAGGCCAGCGTTCGGAATGCGGCAACGATAGTGGTATCAGTCTGATCTCCATCGCCTCCAAATTGCTTGCCTTCATTATCCTTCAGAGACTGACTGGCGCTCGTTGTAGCCGGATTCGTGAGGTGCAAGCCGGGTTTCGTCGAGGTCGTGGCTGCATCGACCACATCTTCACCTTGCGTTAGTTGTTGGACCTCCGTCATACATATTGGCGGCCCACGGTAGTTGCGTTCCTCGACATCAAAGCTGCCTTCGATTCGGTTGATCGATGTGCCCTTTGGAATTGTCTACTCGGGAAAGGTGTGCCCGAGATATATGTAAATATTATCGGAGCATTATACGCGGGGAGCTCAGGCAGAGTGAAGGCTTACGGCAAGCTGTCGCCACCCTTCAATATCTGCAGCGCTGTGAGACAAGGATGCCCGTTGTTACCTTTCCTCTTCAACTTCGCTATTGATGAAGTCATGGAGATTGCATTTACAGGACATGACTTAGAAGGTGTGTGTCTGCTCCCACGAGAACGACTTCTTGACTTGGAGTATGCAGATGACATTGCCCTCATCTGTGACAGCTCCCAGAGGTGCCAAGCCGCGCTGGACAGATTAGCACCAGCTGTCATCCGCTTCGGACTTTACTTTGCACTATCGAAGTGCAAAGCTTTCCTCCAAGATTGGCCTGGATCGGCTCCTGCGCTGACCCTTTGTGAGGATCAGCTAGAAGTCGTTCAAAAATTCAACTACCTGGGAAGTGGTATTAGCGCCCTTGGGATGGAAGATGAGATCACGACCCGTATATCAAAAGCTCGAAGTGCTTTTGCTAACATTCGTCACTTATAGCGCCGGCGCGACATCACTCTCGCCCTGAAGGGTAGAGTGCACAATGCAGCGGTAGTTCGACCTTACTGTACGGTTGCGAAACCTGGCCCCTAAGATCGGCGGATATGAAGAGGCTAGTTACGTTCGACCATCGGTGCCTTCACGGTCTGGCTCACATCTGGTGGGAACACCGCGTGAGTAACGAGCGTGTTCGACACCTTGTTTACGGCACAGGAAAAGGAAATGAACCGCTCAGGACCGTTATTTCACACACCAGGCTCCGATGGCTGGGCCACGTTTTATGCATACCAGCCCACCTACTTCCACGACGTGCGTTGTTTGCGCGCCCGGGGTGTGGATGGAAGAAGAGGAGTGGCCAAGCGATGACTTGGTTAGGAGGAATGAAGGCCCTCATTTCGGAGTTAGCGTCGGTTGGAGCTTCACGGCTCCCTGGTGGGGTCCAAAAGTTGATGAACACGTTTGGCTGGATACACTTGCTGACATGGCAAGGAGCCGACCTCAGTGGCGTTCGTGCTGTGAGTTTCTTTGTCCCTCCCCATCCCTTTTAGACTCCCCTCCACCTCATTTTCTAGCGTAATATAATTTTACACAATACTTTTTCTTTTTGCTTACTAGCCGGCAGGTTGCTTACCTGAACGTTGTCCATCCGTTGCTAGTAGCTCAGCTGCCATGCAACTGTTGTATTTATTTTCCTTTTCCTTTTTGTATTGCGGCACAGTAGCTGAGGTGTTTTCAACCTCTAGCTGACGTGTATATTGATGATGATGCTTAGGGCGTTAAGATTTTCCGGTAAGTCCCGCTTCTCTCTTTCCTATCATTATTCTATTCTTCGTTCCGTAGGTCGTTATGGTTGTATAGCAGCGAAGCTTCAGTTCAAATTGTGGATGTACTGCTGTTGATGATGATTAAACCCAAAGGAAAGAAAAATCAATGCTCGAATAAGATGTTGATAAGGCAGGTTATTTAAATTGCACTTCAGATTATTTGGTCCAACGCTCAAAGCGTTTTACCAAGCTGTGGATTGACTGTCCACTTTCTTTGCGTTTAGTCTTCTTAACACCAGGTCTTCTGCTGCTCTTTTTCTGTAGCATACAGCATAACTAACGATGATTACCATGGGCGGCGGTTGTTTCCATCTGCGATGCATGGTGAGACCACCAGTCTTCGCGGTATGTCTTCATGCTCTCTCGTAGTTTTGCCCTGAGTTCTTCGCGAATCTCGTGCTCCTTTCCCCGTTCATGCCTCTGCGAGCAACCAGTGGTTCCAGAGGCCACGTATAGACCCCATACTCAGATTGGCCATTTGATTTGGCACATGGAGACATGTCTGCTGATATTAACGTCCGGCGAATATTCAACCAGTGATCTCTAACTGTGTTTAGAAGGCGTTTATCCCGCCCGGATATGAGCGTAATTTGATACGCATTCAGAACACCGGGCTTCGCTAGTTGGCTGTTGTCCGGGCACTTCCATTGACGTTGCGGACTTTCACCGAAACGCACCCGCAGATCGGCACATACAAGAGCGTGATGGGAGTCCACGTTCATGCTCCAAATCGAGCGACAGTTTTGATCACAGCCTATCTGGCGGTAACTGATCCTGATGTGATCGATTTGCGCCCATGACTTATCCGAGGCTGGTGTGTGCCATGTCACAGATGTAGCAACCGCTCACCGTTATCATTACGGGAGGCCACACCATGTTGGCCGCCCAGATGAATCTCATCAGGGGACAATTTTCCAAACTTGACCTTTAGATTATCAGCAAGCACTACAGTATCCGTACTTTTTCCGTAACGAAGGAGCTTTTTCAGTTGGTGACAAAATCATGTTTCACCGGATCAGTGCTACAGTTAATGGGCACGGTACGACAATGACAAACGGGCACTTTTTGTCTCCGCGCGACTTGGAAGGTTTGTACGAGCCAGTCAATCTGACGGCGCACGTCCGGCTATTGATTGTGATCCAATCTACCAGGGCAGTTTCAGCCTGTGGATTCAACCATTGCCCACACCGGCGTGACCGGTGTTTGAAACTGCGTCATCTGTAGAAATACGCAATAAGGAAGTGTCGTCTGTTTCACTTGTAGGAGATCGCAGTGTAGGCACTTAGCTTCAATCTTACAGGCAAGTTTCCGATCAAGGGTAGTTACCGATCAGTTGAGTCTGGTGCTGCCTGTTGACTATCCTGCAGCAAAGTGCGCACGTTGATGCATGCCATTCTAACCGATGATCGGGACTCCAAAGAGAAACAGGGGAACTGACGTCTGCTTGGACAGGGGTTTGGCGGCAGGGCAGGAGTAACGCTCGGCATTTGAGTGTGAGCGAAAACTAGTAACTAAAGGCCTATTGAAGCAAGGTGGGGAAGATCACAAATTGGAGGGTTTAAAACAGGGAACGCAAAAGCGAACTTGGGACGGGACGATAATGAGGAAATAACGCGAAAGGGGAGTAAAAAGACTGGAAGGTTTGAGCAGTAGCATCCTCACCCCTCTCAACGCTGTTTGAGATAACAGATAGGGCACCGTTGATTATCCTCTGCGACTGTCAGAGCATCCGGGAATTGTTTGAGGAACGTCTCATTTTCGCGTGACAGGTTAGCCTCGGAACGATGTACCGGCGTGCTTTGTTACTCCATCAGTTTTTCCTATTGCCAACACATCTTGTTAACCCACCTATTGTGGACAACGGTCTCGCAGAGGGTCTCAATTTTTCTTAAGCGACTTGTGACTTTTTCAGTTCGGATTTCTGCAAATGGAAAATTTTTAATAGTCTACTGTCCTTGAGAATATACAGTAGCCACGGGAAATGATGCCAGCGTATAAGTAGCTGTAGGTTTATAACGGTCAAGTTTGACCCCCACTTGTGTTTAACAGTACCTTATTCAATGATTGCAATTTACTCTATCCACGTTCTGTTCACTTCCAGATGTGACCGGTTCCCATTTAGTTTTCTGTCGCGTCCCAAATGTTGTACAAAAGCTATTTTCTGTCTAGTGCCATAGAAATTACGCCGTATGGTCGCCACTAGACCTCGAGACGCGGTTTTACATAGCAACAACTTATTGTTGTACTTTGATCGTGGCCCACACCTTTGTTTACTTTGGCTGTGAAAATGCATTGGCACTGGTGGGAGTCAGCTGCTATTTCCTTTCATGCGGTTTCAACTTTTTATCTTTGCAGGAGGTGATTGGGACTGCGATTGCAATCAACTTACTCAGCATAGGTTACATTCCGCTTTGGGCTGGTGCCTTGATAACCATTGTGGACACTTTCACTTTTTTGTCTATCGATAAATATGGCTTGAGAAAACTGGAACTATTTTTTGGCCTGCTGATTACTACAATGGCGTTCACATTTGGCTACGAGGTCAGTTTGCTTTGTGCACGTCTTTTTCGCGCTACTTCTCCGTTGTCTCTTGTGTTTTTTATCCTCTGCATTTACTGACACATTGTCCTCCTCACTCCATTCCTTATATGTTACAGATGCCAGCTGTAGGCGATAACATAATGGGAATTTTGCCATTTACCTTTTACACAAACGGGTTATGCAGCTGAGTTCATTAAATCCAGTGCTCGGTTGGGGGACTGGGTCAAAAATTAGCAATGCTACCGTCTGCATGCATGCAGACACTGAATTTTCAAATAATAGGATGAAAACGCCTGGCACTGTGCACGCACTGAGGTTCGCATGAATTGTCACTCGCACAGCTTCACTGCTTCCTTTCCTACTACCTAACGTCTGTGCGTACCAGAGAGCGGGTTGAATTATCGTGGACGTCTCATCATTGGAGCCCAGTTATCCCACGAGGTCATCCATCCAGTGGATCTTCGTGGTGTGGTGTACACAGTCGGCGAACGGACATCTAACAGATGCATTGACTTCATAACTACGTGGTTTTTGAGCGCGTCGGGCGTTGACAATCAACAGGGAAGAAGAACCAATGCCTTCAATGCACTTATGAGCTTACTTTTTGGTATCAAAAGGACCTTGGACCACCCGATCTTTTAAAAGTAATATTGGGTTTATCGCCCCTCTGGGAGACAATGCAGGAGAACGGGGAGGTCTCTTAGTTTGCCAATTAGATTCAATCATCTGTGTCACCTCGATCTGTTGGGATTGATGTGGTATTTGGTGAGAATCACTGTATCGGCTTGCAGTCCATTTTATAGCACTAAACAAGTAACACCACTGACGCGAAGCGACACATGAACAAGTGTACGAGAAGGCGGGTTTTCAACTGGTTTACCCGAGTTTTTTAATTGTTCCTTATATTCTTAATCAGCAGTGTCCACACGACCGGTGTGATTTCGTGAATGGATCACAGCAACTATGCATGTTGGCTTTCGCATCATTCTGCTTGGTAAGCATCTTGCTTACACTTCTTAAATGCCTTAGGAGCGAATTCTGCCAGGTAGGCCATTGTTTTGAGATCAACTCATCTCGGTCCCAGTATCACCACCATAACATGTTGGGGAGAGATCAGTTTCTATCCTTTTCCATATCTATCGTTGGGGGCAACTATGTATGCGCTGTAAACCCCAATTGCTTGGTGTACAGGACAGGTGCCATTCGTTACTTCTGAAGGTGGGGGACCATACGCGTTACTCAACTTGCCACAATCCATCTTAAGCCGAACAGTTCTTGGTTAGCTATTGTACTTTCCACAGCTCATCAGCATTTTACATTTGTCAGCTCCACTTATTTACGGAATACGAATACTCAGTTGTTACACGCCATGAACAATTGTGACCAATGCGGCTTATTGCATAGAACATTAGTCAGGGGGATCCGTGTTGTTCCATACATTACACACACATCCTTTCTGCCCAAATTTACTAGTTTTGCTTTAAATTTATTATCTTATTATGAGAGTGACTGTAATAGCTACGTATATCTTCCACGAACGCAACTACAATGGGACCTTTCTTAATGAACCGGTAGGTAGCCCAGAGTACCGCCTCACTTGACCCGAAAAACGTCGCCAGAAACTAGTACCTCCAATGAGGTAGACCACGTACGGTGCTATGCTGCACCCTGAAATAGCGGGGGGATCGAGGCCCCAGGCGGGAAACGCAATATCCTCCTTACTTTCTTGCATATTCAATCCGTGTGAAGCGACTACGATTAACCATGATTCACTGTGGATTCAAACTATTTCCCTGTCGTTAACTAACGCAAACCTCCCCTGTGTATGTGAGGCAGCTGGCGAGCATTTACTGGTAGTAGAAAGGGCTCGTTGCAATCAGCTTCTACTCAGACAGCATCCCACTCACTCGGAGAAACATTTAACGACCGTTTCCTTCTGTTGGTATTCGTCAGTAACACACATCCTACGGTCAAATCAGCAACCGAAACCATGATCTCTCAACACAAGCGGCTTATGCCACTAGGCCATTAGTGTCACGATAAGGCGACATTGCTGATTTCGACATTACGCGGCTCATCTCCCGTACCATACAAGGTACGAACGTTGCAGAAGACATGTAGATATCCAGGGCGTCACCTTATTGTACATCAGTGATGCGCGACGCCATTTCAAGAAGCTGTCCGGGCAATCTCTCAGTTACTTTTGTCCATGAGAATGCTCACTATTGATGGGTCTCTATAGAACGATTCTAGCTTCAAAGTGCTGAAATGTAAGGCTGCATCGGAGTGAAGCAAGGGACAGTTCCTTTGTTTAGTAGTGAGTCACATCCGACACTTCGCGGTACTGCTCAATAGACCTTTGTGCTTTTCTATACAGAGAACACTTGGCAGGCGAAAACCCATCACGCCCTGGAACACTATCGCTGAACAATTTGGTGGAACCGGATAAATCCGAACCATCCAGCTCGCACCATTAGGAGGTTCTTCGGTGAGACAGATGTGCTTATATTTTTGTACACTAAACTCAGAATTTGTAGTGAGACAACCGACCCGATTTGTTGTTTCATCGTACCATAACTACCGCAAGACACCGTTTCAAAATATTTATCCAGCTTCACATCTGGCTAAATTGTTACATTCCTTTTCTCAACAAACAAGGCTTGCTCGCTGAACCACCTCCTCGTGATGCCAGCTGGGCAGTTTGGAAATTTTCCGTTCCGGCGATTGGTTCTGCGGCAGTGTTTCAGGACGTGGTAGGTTTTCGCCTGGTAAGCGTTCTCTCTATCAAAGCCACAAATGTCCTTCTAACAACACTGCGACGTGGCGGATGTGCCTCGGTACTAAATAAAGTCACTGCCCCTTGTCCCCTTTGGAGACATTGTACACCGGCAAGCAATCCGAGCATCGGATCTTGTCTCTGATTTCGGGAGTATTGGGTCCCTGGCATGGCTTATCGTTATCCGGCTCCCAACGGGTGCGAATCCCTCATCTCGTCCTGCTGCCTTGTGGGTAAAGCCCTTTGACCAAATGCTCGGGGTGGTGATCCCCTAAGACATCCTACCTACATCGGCCTAGGCAATCGGGTAGTATCTCGAACCATGGACTTACAATTACAACCATTCACACGCTCTCTTGCTGCTACGATGCTATTCACTCATGCTACTATACCAACTTCTCAAGCACACACCACTATTTTACCTACCCTTGCCTTGTACCATTCACATCCAGTTTTACCTGATTCTTCTACGGCGATCAACCCCAACTCCACCGATGAACCTTGTGATGGGGCTAGAAATGCTGGTGATTAAAAATGCTATAATGCCGATCGAACGTCACAGGCCAAACCGATAAGGTGTGGGCATGTTGCCCGAAGCAGATGAGTCAGCCAATCAGGAATGGCCCATAATCGCGACCACCCTGCAACTATCCACTGAACGTGCAAGTGACCAGTCAGGCGCAAGCAGGCGAAGGAGCGCATACGCGTGCACCTTTGAGCCAAGGCTTGTGGCATTGGACCGAGGGAAGAAGCTCACGGGCCCAATCCCGCCAATCGTACATCGGCTAAGAAAGTCAAGGTGTTTTTAGACAAAGTGAACGTGGCGGGCAAGCATAAACCAATGGAAAGGGACCCAGTGACAATGCAAATAACAGGGATGAGCCATTGAGACGGACTGTTGTAAATAGTGTATCTACTCTATAAATATTCGAGCGTAAGCTTACTGAACGACTTCATGATCACGGCACTGCCTTCTTGCTTCCCGGAGGGCTACACGGCAAACCTGATCCCGGGACATCTGTCAACGACTTCCCCATACTGCGGCCACTAATTCACCTGCGGGAATCATGTAACACCCGAGGATACAGTTACAAACTCAGGTTCCCCTGCATGAACAAAGTATCACATCAGCTTTGTATGGAACGAAGGATCGTAAACTTATGGAATACGCTACCAGAAGGATTAATAGAGTCTGATTCTGTGAAATGTTTTAAAACACGTATCGACGCTTATTTCGGGAACCTGTGCTTTTGTGAAACGGTGCACATACATTGTCAAAAGAAGACATCGTATACCCGGAAATAATGACACCAATACGAATTTCTAACCGAACTGTGATAAACAGTTAATTGACCAAACACCACCACTGACCATTCGCAACTAAATGTTTTTGACTCTTCATAATTCGTTAGAGTTGTACCAAAACCTTTCTACTTGCTCTTAAGTACAGTCTTGGTCTGTCTCAACCACACAGTGCTCAGCAGAGAGCTGTCAAACTCGAAGTCTCCCATCTTCATTCCCGCAACCCGAAACGCACTTCGAACTAGCAGCCTTCAACCTACGCACACTACTGCAGGTCGCTAAGCAAGCTGCACTTGCACACAGGCTAGAGGCCCTTGGAATTAATATCTGCTGCCTGTGTGAAACGCGACTCCAGGACTCCAACTCGGTCTACCAGCTAGCGTCGTCGCTCCACTCACGCATCCGCTTCAATCTCCGCTTCTCTGCTGACACCGAGTCTGCGTCATCTGGGCAAGCTGGTGTTAGAATTGCCCTCAGTGCTAGAGTCGAGGCTGCTCTGTTTAATTGGATCCTCATCAATACTCGTCTTTGTGCGATGAGGCTCCATGGCTTTTGTAAAGTTAGCAGACGTCGAGTCGAAAACCATACTCTCTTCGTGATCTCTGCCTACGCGCACACTGACTAGCTCGGACACAGTCAAGGACCAGTTCTACCAGAGTCTTCATGAGCTGCTCCTTAGGTCTCCTAAAACAGACATCATTATTTTGGCAGGAGACTTTAACGCGCGCGTCGGTCGGCTACTGCCATGTGAGCGCTACCTCGGAGGACTGCATGGATATGATGATGTTCGCTCAGACAATGGAGAGAGACTGCTCAGTCTGTGTGCTGATCATCAAGTATTCCTTTCCTGCACGAGCTTTCGTCATCCTGGACACCAGTACGCCACTTGGCACCCACATCATCAACCCAGTGCTGGTCACAGATTGACCACATAGCTATAAGTCGCGCGTGGCGCGGCAGCGTGCGCGACTGCCGATTATTTTGGTCAACATGCTTGGATACCGATCATGCACTGGTATGTAAAACCGTTTGCATGCGTTTCGGTGGTTCACCTAGGTCCAAACACACCCGACTGAGCACCTACAAGCTGGAGGACTCTATGGTAAAAAAAGAGTATCAACAAAGACTTCGTGAAAATCTCGCTCTCCCTCCAACTCTGGATGTTGATCAACACCGGTCGTCTGCAACAAGCCTTGCTGTCGGCCGATTTGTCCAGCTACGGCCTCGCTTGCTCCACTCCCGAAAGCTAGATCTCGTGAAGATCCTTGGAATTGCTGGATCGCCGACGGACGGTGCCTGCTGGCGCAGAGCATAACGAACACCACCGGTCTATTATGCAACAGCTGTAAGCAAGCCTTCGCTCTGCTCGTGAATCCTGGTGGTCAAAACGAGCTGATGGAAACCGCTGCATCAGCTGGCAACTTCCGACGTCTCAGATGTGGTGGCAACACCAGGTAAGCAACTCAGAGGTCCAAGACCGGGTGCTTGGATCAAGTAGTGCCAGTCTTCAGAACGTTATTTTCCAACACCACATGCGTTGACTTGGCCACGTATTGCGCATGTCGGCCCATTATCTTCCCCGCCGAGCGTTATTTGTGCTCTCCGGAAGCGATTAGAAGAAGTGCCGCGGCGGACAACCAGTGACGTGGAGAAGGACCATGAGGAATGCAACCTCAAACTTAACATTCCTCGGACAGATCCACCTTCCATGAGATGGGGACCAGGCGATTCGGACTGCCAGTGGTTAGAAACGTTGGGGGCTATGGCGCGCAACTGGCATCAGTGAAGACAGTGCTGTTCAACGGTGTTAATTATTAGTTAACCTCTCATGGAACATAAAACTCCCAAACACAAAAAAGATCCAAAAGCGGGGTGTGCAAAACCGAAAAAGTCGTTTTCTTCATGTTGTACTTCGTTTCCCCCCTCTATTTCGCCATGACTCCTGTGGCACATTACCTGTAATCAAATTGTGAACATATATACATATATATTTATTTATATATTTATAACGAAGAACATGTCCACCGATTGTTTCTCTAGAATGACAGATGTCAAACCTGTTAGCTGATCACAATACATACATGTATTCTTCTCAACACCAAGTAGAATCTGTCTGAATCATTCACGTACCGTGGTCACATCGTCTCTGTCTTAACATCTGATCTTTTTCACAACTGACTTTATGTAAATAACAGCTAGTACATTGAATGTGAAATTGTCAAATTGCCTAACAGTGCTTGACTACAAGTTGTTGACAAACACAAGATCCATGTTTGATTCCGACCTTCTAGCAGATTTCACACTAATCTCCAAGCACTTCGTGACAGTTATGCGCCTCGCAGGTGGGGCAACTGAAGGCACCACAGATGTCTAGTGAAAATCAAACGCTATCTGCGTAGATGCCTTATTTTGCACTTCGCGATCAAGGTTCTGATGCGTGAATAGGCACAGCGTAAATTGCTTTTCACCGACATCCACCACGAGGAACTGGTGCAGGCAGATGAGGCCCCACTGCGGCTTTGGCATTCATACTAGTGGGCAGTGCGATAACCAATAAATTCGGCCACTGTTGTTACCATCTTCGCCTCCTCATGGAGCCAGATCTGCACCATTACGACACCCATTTCAAATATTCGCGATTACTGGTCTTTCCACACTCCCTCTTTAAAGCGAACAATTGGCCTCGTTATGTGCATATGCAATTTTATTACATCCTCATTTTTCTTTCGCAGTACTGCATACCCCATTACCGCATGGGCTTTTCAGCATATATATGCCTGTTGTAGATCCTAATAGACTGGTCGAACGAAAAGCATGATTCGTTTACTAGTAAACACGCTGGCTTCAAAATACCACTATTGCAAATTGATACTACTTGCAGAACAAGCGGACGAAAACCAGGATAGTCTCGAAACCAGTGTGGTCTCTCAATTTGGTGCCAAAGCTGCGGTACACATTCTTGAGTTTCACCGTTTATATTGGTTTTAATACTTCCCAGCTGATCCTCTACACTTCGGAGCCGACTGATTTGTCGTAATCGTTTCCAGGAACCCTCCGCTGTGTGAAATCTGTTGCACCGTTAAATTCATTTCTGAACTGGTTGCTCTGCGTCAATGCCGGGAGATGTAGGTTCCGCCCTCTCACGGTTCTCCCCTCCACCGGGAACCTTCTCTGTACTACATTCTAACCTGCTATAGTAACCACCTTCCTACGGCGACCAGCCAAAAACATCCCCAACGTTTTCTGCTATGACCACTTGTTCAAGGCGACTACATTTTGTCTCTCCCTTGAGTGTGGTCACCTTAGACAGATTTGACTGCATTTAGGCATATTCATCGCTACCGGTTCTTCTGCACTGTACGCGGTATGGTGCTGCCTCGGTTGGCATTCCTATCCACACGCAGTTAGCGATGCTCGCTGTGTTTCACACTCACTCCACTTTACTGCTGTCTTCAGCGTTCACCTGTCCCATGAATTGTACTGCGTATTGGAAGCTTATTTCAGGCTGCTTACTGCACGTGAGGTTGTGTTTCCCAGGATAGGTTATTGCCACAAACGACAGGATTTGTGTGGATTATGAATGTCGTCTTTTACTGGATTACTTTTCTCACGCGATCGGTTCTATCACAGTAGCCCTATTTTTATATCGAGGTTGTACTTCTCCTATTTTTTTCTGTCTGACTCATTGATATTTTCCCTATGATTGGTTTCCATGATATGCTATACCAGTCGTTTGCCGTTCCTTCAGTACGTCGTCGTTCGACCTCGGCAGCTGGATGTCCTGTTCGGGCTTTTTGTACCCTCATGCAACAACTGCGGTTGGCAAGAGCTACAACAAGCTGTGGGTATTATCGGAGCAGTGGTGATGCCTCACAATTTTTACCTGCATTCTGCTCTGGTCAACTCTCGTGATATCGACCGTTCACATCGCGGACACGTGAGTTCTGTGTGCAACACCATCTTCTAGTGATACGAATGTTCCAGTTTGGTCTGGTCAACTTCGCTTAGTGGATCTTATATTTTGTCAGTCGCAGCTCCTACCGAACCGATTACGTTATCATCTATTTTGGAAGCTTCGTCTTCAAACTGTTAATCTTCGGTTAATTTATTAGAATATGTCACCAATCTTATTCGTTATCCATCAACACTAATCGGTGAACAACGAAGCTGTTAAACAACATGTAACTTATTGGTATCGTAGGTCTTGTCACATATGTTTCGTCCTTTGTCTATCTAATTTGGACTGAATCTGTGGTATTTACGATTGGCAAAACCCATGAGTACTACAAGTCTTCTCCGTCACGACCATTTGTTTTCAATCTAACTGCCGAATTTCAAATGGGTTGTGGCCAGTTGTCATCAGTCGTGAGCATACTCACTGAACCCGCGTCCATCTGAAACGAACACCCTTCGTCCAACCCTATCGACCAAGGTTTGGTACTTCGTGTACATTACTGGAATGCATCAGTTCCGAACATCCGGGTTAACTGTCCGTCTTCTGTACAGTCCAGTCACCAGTACTGTTGATGACTCCCCATTCAACATCTCTCCCATCCTTGGATAGTAAACAAGCCTCCGTATATTGCTTGATGGTTACCTGATTTTTAGGCTGCATGTCCCTCTAGTTTCATAGGTTTATGTTCACCATGTTGACTTGCTATCTGTCGCAACGAGACTGGGCCTTACCATAGTGCAGCTGTTTGCATACCTCATCTACCCATCAAGCTATAATGAATGATGCTCCCGAGCCCCTACGGAGGTTGGTCAGTGGCTAGAGGTAACATAAACTCAGTCTCCAGGTTAGGGGTTGGAGATGAGATGGCTTCCATTTCTGCAAAACGTAATCATTGCCACCACGCTGCTGCCTTGCGGACAGGCTTTTGAGACAACGACTTTAGTTGAGGGCCCGAGTCATCTTCCTGTCCAGGTCTGGGCGTCCTGGCAGCATCTCAGCTCACGTACAAGCGTAATTATTTTCTCAGGTTTCCTCCACATCCTGCACCGGCCGTCGCGCTTGATATCATGAGTCGCCCTGTTGTATACATCAGGGCAGATAAGCGAAAAGATGCTTCTGCTGGCGCTCCCCTTCCTTCTTTTCCACCTTTCTCTCTTACTCCCCTCCCAACCTCTCTTACTAGCCTTCCTTCCTTAATTCCCAACTCAGTGGACACCAGCGGCATTGACACTAGAGTCAAGCCATCTGCAGCTAATTTCCCGCAACACCCACTGCACGCATATCGGTAACAGCCTTTCATAAGACCACGCCGTCTCTTTTCGTTGACGGTATTCATTGTTCAGACTCTGCGACAAGTAGGTCAACAAGTTGCACTCACACACACGTTGGACACCCTGGGTATTGACGTGTTGTGTGTCCGATCCTAGGATCATTAACACCCGCGGCGTTGTTGAAGTAACTGCGTGCTGCTTGTTCTCTCGCTATTGGTCGCAGGTATCCGGAGACGCTGGTGGGGCACTCACTGGTCAAGCTGGGGTGGGCATCGTTTACGACTCCAAGTCTGAGTCATCATTGGTTGATTGGATTCCCATGAGCAGCCAATTAGACACCAACTAAACTTGGTTCACAAACCAGCACTGGACGCTGTTTGTTTGTGGTTTCCGTTTATGCTCCCAGCTACTGCAGTTCTGATATCACGAACGGAACACGCTGTTTCATAGTGTTGCTCGTTCAGATATCGTTGTTGTTGCTGCAGGGGATATAAAAATGCACAAATATGGCGTCTGTGCTTTGCAGAAGCTCAGTTGCGTGGTGCGTATGGATTTAACTGCCATCGGACTGACGACGTGGAACATTTGTTGCAATTGTGTGCGGAGCACCGGCTGTTTCTTAGTAGCACCGCTTTTAGACACAGTGGGCACCGAAGTGCCCATTGTCGTCCCTCTATAGCTGGCTTGCGATGGACCCAAATAGGTCACGTTGCCATAAGTTACAATTGTCCTCCTTCCATCCTGGATTGGATCTCGTCATGAAATCCCTGCGTTGAAGCGTACTGAGCACTTCCCTCGATTGCTAACTTAGAATTTATTCCATTTGCTGGTCACACAAACTTACTAGGGTGTCTTGCGTGGCGAACGTTTTTATGACATAGGGGATTAAAGTTATGTGATTTTGGCTGTTATACATAGTGCGGAAGCCTCTGCTTGTGGTACTATCAGTCATCAGCGCAGTAGTCGCTGGATATGCGGAGGTCGGTGAACCTGTTGATTTTATTGAAGAAAACTCCGACATGTAATCTGAGGAACCATTTGGTGCGAACTAAAGCGGAGCCTGTGCGTTGCAATACAGCCTAGTGGATCACTCGCGCACAGGAAATGCAGGAAACCGGGACAGTAGAAAATTAACGCAAGCTCTTCCAGCTGATCCCCACCACTGGTCTTAAGAAAATAGGCGTCAGTGAATCAGAAAAAGATCGGATGGCATGATTCACATTAAGGCGCACCGTGTGGCTCGTTGGGCGGAGCAGTTTTGGCACCAGTTTAATTAGTCCCATGCTTCCGGATCTCTTCTTGCTCAGGTGTTGAAGCATGAGGGATGGACGTTTAGTTTAGAGGTCTCATCGGAGACTGAAGTCCGCAACCCGATCGCAGTCCTTAATCGTTTTCGTGCTGCTGGCCTGGATTCCCTCCCGCCGGCACTGTTTAAGGTTGGTGGTGAAGTCCTGTGCAATGCATTTACCTCCTTTTTCGAACATATCTAGAAGCATGACACCATCAATGTTAACTACGGTACTTCGACTATATTGGCAATTTACAAGAAGAGCAGTCGAATCGATTACGATAACCACAGGTATTAGCCCAACGTCAATTGTGACAAAATAACTAGCCTCGATTCTCGTTCGTCACCTTACTGCGGCACGGGATTCTCGAATTCGGAAAGAGCAGGCAGGTTTCTGCCCGGAAGGGGGCTGTATGTACCATATATTCACTCTGCGGCTGCTTCTAGAGCAGCACCACAAGTACCAAAGATCGACAATAGCTGTGTTCCTCGATTTCAGGAGTACGTTCGACTGTTCGAAGTACTTGCACGAAAATGTGTTCCCATGAAATTTGTCAACATTTTACGTGCCCTGTACTCGAACACAACAGGTCACGTCAGCATCTACGGTGGCTTCTCAGACATCATGCGGACAACGGCTGGTGTTCGTCAGTGTTGCTCGGTTTCCTCATTCTCATTTATTTTCTTTCTCGTCTCCATCATGGAGTGTTCTCTTGTGAAATCTTACGATGCGAGTGTCAAGATGCTGTCTGATGAAAGGCTAGTTGATTTTGGTTATGCGGATGAAATCATCTTGCTGTTTATCGGTGTCAGGGCGGCTCAGATTAACCTCTCGAGACTTTTCCCATCGTTTAGCATGTACTTCGCACCTTCAAAGTGCAGTGCCGCTGCAGGACGACCAGTCACCTGGTGATTCAGTGACTCTTGATAGCAAGGAACTCGAAGCAGCTTCCACTTCACTTACCTTGGCATCTGCATCAACACAACGATGGGCGCATAGCGACTGAAGTCAGTTGACGTATTGCAAAACGTAGAACTTCCTTCTTGAATATGCTACATCAATGGCGTCTGAAGGGTTTTCCCTCGGTCTGAAGGACCGTGTTTACAAGGCCACAGTAAGTTCCGTCCTGCCCTGTGGGAGTGAGACTTGACCCCTTCCGTCTGAGGATCTTAGGCGTCTTCATGCCGTTTATCATCGCTGCCTACGAAGCATTGCTGTTGTCGGGTGGCATCGGCGTGTTGCGACGATTATCTGCTTACGCCGATGTCAGGCGGTGATCATCTGGCTAGTTCCTTAGAATAGCAGCTAGCACGGAGTAAGTTGTGTTGGCTTGAGAACTTAGCACATGTGCACGGTCTCGGCTTAATAAGCAAGGTCTTGTTTCGTTTCCCAGATGTAGTGTAGTGCTAGGTTCGGGGTGGGGAAAAGTTGACTTGGCAGTGGGAAATGGAGTCACTGACGCTCTAGCTTGGTGCCGTTGGTCCGTTTTACCTTCTAGGATGGAGTTCACGTGACCCACCTATGTTTGGCTTTAGGGGTTAAAGGTCATCTCACGCGGCTCCTTGTGGTCTCCTTGTCTTACTATTTTTTAACGTTTGTTTGCTTCTGCGTTTTCTGCGGGGTAGTAACTGATTATGATATGAGACAGTGAAGACCGCAAGTAAGCTGTCTCCCCAGTGCCGCCTTATCTTTGCACAAAACCAGTTGTTTGTGACAGTTTGTTGTTGACAAACTTTGTGCGCCTTGACCCTGAGTGTTTGCTTAGGGCATTAAGGTTTTACGCTAAGTCCCCCTTCTCTTTTACTATTCTCTGTTCCGGATGTCATCATGGTTGTATGGCACCGAAGCATCCGTTCAAATGTTAGATGTACTGCTGTTGATGATGATAACCTACTCTCTACCTTCCTCAGTGCGTGGCTTACTTCTCTTTGCGGGGCATGACTACGATTCTACACTTCGTTTTATGTGATCGGCTTCGTTAAGTACTCAGAGTATAGATTCCTTCAACCCCTGATAAACGCGCTCCTGTTCAGTTGCCGGATGTCTGCGCGTGCACTAAAGACCCGTGTGATAATACATTACTGGCAGTAATCTGTTGGTCGATATTATGCGGTAACCAGTTGGACGCAAACAAGTAGGGACCAAGCGAGCGTGTGTTATTGATGGAAAAGTTACCAAGTGGAAGAAGCAGACTAGCTGTGAACGTATCGTTTCCGACATATCTGGTAGACTTTTAGCCACTAGTGTGCCTGTACTCCTTGCCCACATCTACGAACTTGCCACGTATATTCGTCTTGGGCGGCTTTTTGATAGGATACACGTCAAATCTCTAGAGTCATGCATATCAGATCCGGTAACCATTGCACACAATATATCGTAAGCTCCGTATAGATCAGACACACATTGAGTCACTGGGTTTGGCGGTTAATTTTAAACTCCGGAGCTCGGTTCATTTGCTATCTGTGTTCGTTCACTCTAGAGGCCACAACTTTCAACAGGTTTCATGAAAATGCTTCCCGATATTCCAACGACATCGATTAAGATGTAGTTCCCGGAGATTAATATGTTGAGTTCTGCACAGTTTTGTCAGTTCTTCGAAATCATTTCTCGTCTATATTCCCACTTCCCCTGACATACGATGAACTATCGTGTAAATCCAACGTTGCACGTGACTCATTTTCTTAACAAAACCAGTAGATAGGTGACATGACCACGCATTGATGCTTCACTACCATGCAGGCGCATGCATGCTGTAATACCATCAGGTCGCCTAACCCATTGCAGGAGTAGAGACTCAAACTTAAACGAGCACCAATACCCTACTTCCCTTTGGTCCTTGAGCTGGTATCAACCGTATCACAACCGTCATTAGTACCCATTTCTTATGCCGGCACGAAAATAGTCAGAAAGTCTGTTTTCACTTCGACTTGATGTATCTGTACTATCGCTGTCATGTCATTTTTGTTCACCTTATTGATTCAAATTGTAACTAAAGGCTTGAACATGATGTGTAACTGGAAGAAAACAGTCTTAAATTTGCCCTGAAATGTCCGAGTTTTGACGCTTTGATACGGCATTCGCTTGGGCTCGAAGCGCGACGTGTTCAGCATTGTTGCAAATTTCACGCCCTGGACCTCTTTTCCAGTTCACATTCATGAGCGAACGACGTGATACAGAGGTCCTAGCCCTAGCCATACTAACTAAGGAGAACGATACATCGGTCGATCTGAGTGTCACACTCAGAGCGCGTGATCACCTCTGTAGTGCGTTTCATCAATATCCGTACCTTCTAGTCTTTTCGAATTCACACAGTGATTTAGTTCACTGAATTAAAAGTGGATATGCTAAAGGAAAGCAAAGACCGCTTTTTTAGAGAACGAAAGGTAAACCAGGGAATACTTTCATTTATGCTAAGAGCATCTGGTCCGTCAAGTTCGACGAATTACTACGTTGGTGGAAGTCACAAGGAAAGAACTTACATAAAATGAACTGACGTTTCAAAAATGTAGGTGGACTCTGCGTCGAAAGTAGTCGATTAAGTTTGGGACAACCTAATGTATGACAGACTATAATTAATAACCTTGCCTTTCTCATGACGCTCATCGATTGACTCGTTTTATGCCGTGCTTTGCATCAGCTGGCATACCACGGACATTGCGGGGCCTCTTTTGCGGATTCTATTTCAACAGATGTTCGGGTGCTGAACCAGAGTGCTTCCTGCTCAACACCAGCGGAAGGATACGCTCAGTACTATTTCCATACGCGAGAACTAACCCGTGGATAATACTGATATCTAACCTTGCCCCTATAGTACCTAGACGTTGATCTGTCTATCTCAGTGTCAAGTCACATTCTTCTCCTGTCTCTTTGCTTTCGTTGCTGATCGCATGACCGATTTACAACCTTTGATGGCAACTCTTCTTCAGCGTACAGTCGTCCTGCACTCTTCTCTGCCCATATTTCACCTTTGGATGTCGTTTTCCTCCTAGTATACTGGCATATAAATCTCCCGCTTTTTAGTTTGGCAAGGTTATTCTTATGTGTTATCTTGACCCCGCTTTCCCATTGTTCGCCACAGAGTTTCATCTTGTTCTTCACTGCACGTTTCCGCTACTTCGTCTCCTCCACAGGTTCGTGATGCCAACCTGTACTTTTTCGTCGAATCTGCTATTGCGCTTTTTGTCTCTCTGGTAATCAACATCTTCGTTGTATCCGTCTTTGGTGCGGGTTTCCATGGAACAAATGTCACTGAAGTGGTAAGCGTGACTTCGGGTTATTTTTCCTTGTCACACTGCCCCCCCCCGATTGAAGAAACATCATGGGAACATGCGCTTTTCACCATCTGCCTAGGCTTCGTGCTAGCACAACCTACTTGTTGATGAAAGTAATGTATTCACAATGCACCTGTACATCGTATCGACGTTTCGCTTTCACTCAACCACCACCAATCGCACACTGATTAGGGATACTGCGCCGTTGCCTACACCTGTGAAGTTTCGAATTGGTGACCTGATAGTTATAAGGAGGGAGCCCTATACCAAAGTACCACCGACCCACTGGGTTTTACCTCCATGTACTTTTTCACTTACTGCCATGGCGTTTGCTACCACTCACTTCGACACACTCTCTTACAGTTCTTTAACAGGTACTGTGGCTTAAATTTTACTCTTGCCAAACAATGTCTTCCTACTTCTCGACTACAGTGAAACGTAGTCACAGACTAGTGGCCAGTAATCTTTATGCTGTTAGTTTCACCCGGCTTAGGCAATATCTGTGGTTAGCTATCCACTCCTTCTGTTCAATTGCGTGTACGTGGCTGGGTTGCTTGCATCTTGACATCCGCGCATATACACAATCGTTGAGCATCGTCGCCGGAAAACCGGAACTGACTTCGTTCAGTCACGGCAGAAGACTTGTCCACCTTCCCGTTATAAGTGCGACGAATTAAGACGTGGACAGTCATTGCTCACGTGCTGGTTCCGCCAGATATAAGCCAAACTACGAAGGCACCGGTGATCGAGCGCAGCTTGACTCTTCATATCTGTCGATCTGATGGGCCAATTTTTACAACAATGTAGTAAGGCTGAACGGATGACAACATTGTGGACCCTACCTTCCAGAACGATTGTGATGTTGCACAGGCACTGTGAGTGGCGATGACTAACAAAAGCGTCCCAACCTTTTGCTATACGCTTCGCCACCTTTTCTTCCATTCTACAGACACATATACAGCTGTCCAGGTTGCTGACTTTTCGATCCCAGCGTGGGTCAGCGCAGGAGTGGTCCCTACCAATCCTAGAGGATAACTTCGCATTTGAGGATGCAAAACAATCCATGAAATGATTGTCAGTCAATACTAATTTGTTCAGGGCTGTTTTGCACATCTGAGCTGTCATAGACGAGGGCAATATCGTCGGCATACTCAAAACCAAAAAGTCGATCAACGGAAACCTTCTTCATACCTTCCAAGTCGTGTCCGGTGAATTCCTTTAGCATAACCTCATAAATAGCGAAGTTAACATAGAGACCTGACGGAGGGTAATCCCGTCTCACACTGCTGGATGTATTGAAGGGTGGCGACAGCATGCCATACGCACTCACTCTACCCACAATACATGCCTGAATTGTTTCGATAATGCTTACCAATTTTGGATGTACGTTTCCTAATGAATCAGTCCCAAATGGTACACCAATCCATCAAATCGAAGGCACCATTGGTGTCGAGGAATACGACTTCGGTGAATCGCCAATTTAACATCTGTAGTTAAGTTCATTTGTTGCAGGTGCGACTTCTCGGAAAGTCGGCTTTTTATTCACGAATCTAGCTTTCACGGGCGCCATTCTGTCATGAACGGTAGAACTAAACAACTTAAAGGCGATGATGATCAAATCAATGACTCTACAATTACCACATTCCGAATGTGCGTCCCCTTGCAAATCAGAACAGTAACAGAGCACTACCAGTTGACTGAAATCTTTTCTTCTTTGCTTCCAGCCGCAGGACATTCCTGCTGCTATTAAGGTCTGACTAGCATGTGACCTGTGAGCTTCCATTGTCTTCAGTGAACGCCTCCTCAACGCGAACACTTTCGCATGCATTCGGAACATCTGACTTCGCCAGTTGGCGGATGTCTACACGTTCAGAGCATCGTCACCACCGAAGCGCACTTGGAGATCAGCATGCACAAGTGCACGGTCGGAATCCACCCTGGTGCTTCAGTTGGAGCGAGTTTTGGTGCATCGCCCTTAACGGTGTGATTGACTTGCGTCCAACCCTGGTCTAAGTCTGGTGGGCGCCATGTCATCCTTCTGCTGGTACTGTATCGGGAATTGGTGCTCGCGATAAATAGACCAGCATTTTCGCTCATGTGTATCAACCGCTCATTGTTATCATTACGGGAGCCTAAATATTATTTGTCGCCGACTAAACTCATCAGGGGATAGTTTTCCAAATTTAGCGTCCAGATCATCAGCCAGGACTACAGTATCCGTACTTTTTCTATGACGAAGCCGGTCGTTCAGTTAGTGACATAAGTCATATTTCTCCGAGTCAGCGCTACACTTTGTGTGGACTTAGTGTACAATGACGAACAGACACTCAATGTCGTCGCACGAATTCTAAACTTTGAATGGGTCAGCCATTCTGACGGCACGTATCCGGCTACTCATTGGGATCCAGTCAACAAGAGCAGCTTCAACCCGGGAATTCAGATCAATGCCCACACCGGCATGACCGGTATTAGAAGGTGAGTCGTTTCCAGCCAGACGCAGTGAGAAACTGCTGTCAGTACAGCTTGTGGTGGATCGCAAAATGTGCACAAATCCAGAATTTTGTAGGCAACTTTCCGATAAGCAGCGCTTATCGACCAATAGGCTAAATGCTGCCCCTTGACCGATTTACAACAAGATGTGCATGTGGTGGCTTGCTAGTCTCCGCTAAGTTCAAGGGCTTCCAATGGATGCGGATGAATTCAGCTCGTCCGCCTGGTTCGATATGGATTTTTCCTCAGAGCAGAATCAACATTTTACTGTTGCATACGAGTTGAACCTAGAGACAAGGTGAAGGCTAACTAGGAATTTGTGTGAACTGAAACCGTAAGGGGGCGGTACGGATTTAATAGCGAAAGCGGAGGATTTAACGGAGCGGGAAATCCTGAGCAACGGCATTTTACTCTTATGCACCCCGCTCGATGTGGCCGATGCGGCTCCTTTTATTATCTTGGGTGTCAACCAGAGCCTCAAGCAATCATTTGAGAATACTGTCAAGTTGCGCAGACCTGGATTGGGAGTTGATTAGCCGGAAGCTTTTATCCAACACGACTGAAACCGTTTCGCTTTGCTGAGCCTCATTTGGGTTATGCGCCCTCACTGACTTGTGTTTGTCTTCTTTAAATTTGCTTTTCCCTCTTTGCGCTAGCATCTACTGTATCACTGGATATGGCTGTTTTTGTCCCCATTGCTTACCGTTATCCCATTCATATATCGTTGTCCTTCCTCCTTAGCACAGGCGGTAAGCTTATTCTTACCACGTTTCACATCGCATCACTCGAGAGACCAAATAAACTCGGCATTTCTGATCCGGTCGCTTATGTAATGGCTCTCTTCTAGTTCCATTCAACTTACCTATCTATCCTTTAACCCATTTTCTGCTCACTTGTTTTGTCACTCTCAAAATGCACTTAATTCGATGTATAGTCTGTCTTTTGATACACTTGCTTATCAAATACGATCAATTTTTCTAAACGTGTACCATCAATGAGAGTTTGTCTCTCTCTAACCGTCTGGCTAAAAGACGCGCTTGCGATCCACAATCTTGCCCGTGGAACGGGAATGCAGAGGTCGACTTTGGTGTATGTCACATTATTGAGGGCTTGGGACTCTTCAGAGTCGCCGAACCAGTGGCAGTTTCACATCTGACTTGTAACTTCATCGGGCAACTACGTTTTTCCACTGTTCTTCTGTATCATTTTTATGAGCATTAACTCCTTTTTCGCTTTATTTGTTTGTTTATTCACTATTATTATCATTATGACGAAGGCGTAATTTTTCGAGACTAGATCCATCGTCATTCTTTGTTTGCATCACACCTAACTGAACCGATCTATGCTTATCCGCTCTCGCGTTTTCCCCTCTGTCCGTTGTATCCACGTCGCCACATTTCTGGTGTTTTGCTGTCACTTTTACTGGTTGATGAGTTCCACCTAGTTTTTCCTCCTTCCAGGTCACCACCTGCTCCGTTGAGGGGTATCTACCGGCTCATCTTATTAATGACGTAAGTCACAGATGCTGGCCGATCAACTTGTTCTACCTAACTTTTACTTACTCATTCTTATTTGGCAGACTGTGTATGAATCTTTCGCTAGACGAGGATGTCCGTTGAAATCCAGTTGTTTTCGGACCTTTCTGAAATCATGAGTTTTGATCGGTTCCAAGATATCCAGTCGCTGTTGGTTTTTGCATATTGACTATCTACGACCATAAGTCGATTGCGATCTTCCATAATCGATCGTTTTCCAACACAGCTTGAATTAGCTTCTTATCTGCATGTCCACAGTCATCCAAACGTTTGGCGCTTGTTAAACGGGTAACTCTTTACCTTCGTGCACTTATTGGTTACCTCTTAAGTACCGCGAAACAAACCAGGAAAAGAGAATTTAACATTGTTGCTGAAGTTCGTGATGCTGCAATTTAATAGATTGTCTGCTTTTCACCCGCACTACTTGAGAATCGTAGCGATCTGAAAGTGGTTCTCGTTAGTCGCTGCCCTGGGACAAAAATATGTTCAAATACATGTGTTCACCTCCTCCCCTGTTCGTTAGCTGTTCGGCTGTGAGCGCATGTGGGTAGGCGACGTAGCAAAAAATGTTTGCTAATCCTCACTAAACGTCTCTTCGTTTCCCACTTACATCAACTATGTCCCGCATACTTGCAGCGGCATCGCCCTTCCGAGAATCTTCTTGTGTCTGTTTTCCACCTGTTTCCCGTCTTCCTGTTTCAATGTACGATTGTTTGCTTTCTTTTTTCCACTAAAGTACACCCATTCTAGTCTCATAGATCATTCATCTATTCCACATCCGTCATCGATGCACACGGGGTCGAATTTCGAGGCATAAAACTACGTACGGCGTTTCCCACCGGCAGCGTACAACGCCACGTGGTCACACTGATATTGTGCGCGCTCTCGTTATGGTGCACATATCCAGCGTAACCACTGAAATTTGCCGTTCTACTTTTCACGTTCACAATGGTCTGCAAATCATTCCGTACCCTTTATTTTGATGCAACTGAAGCGGTGAATGTAGAATTTTATCCAGGCGAAACAACCGCCCTTCTGAGTCCCTTGTATGTGTCCTCAAACGTTGCTCTTCTATAGCGTGTATGGAAACCATTCAAGAGATTCCTCAAGTGTTCTCACTTGGTGAATCGACTTGATCTGTTTCTAACGTCTCTCTTCCACGACATATCAGCTGCTTGAGGTTCCCATACTGATATTCCACATTTTGCATGACCACAACTCACATCGCCACATATTTCCTGTCAATAACCTGTCTATCTTTGTACACTCCATAGCTACCACAATGCGTTTTACTGAGCTGTATATTCTCCCTACCCTGTATTTTGATCCTATCTGTCCTCCTGGCGACCATCATTCCCACTCGTGGTCATTCTTCAAGCGTATCTTCATGGAAAGAATTGTTCATTTTGGTACATCCGTAGAACATTGCATTTGGTCACACAACTTGGACTACGTCTCATTGGGGTCGCACACACTTTTGTCTTCTGAATTTCGTTTACTTCTTGATTCTGCACCATCTTCCACATTGTCTTTTGTATGTAGTTTATTGTACTAAATTGTTGCTACTAATTCTACTGAACTCAATTAGTATCATGTACACTCACGTCTTGCAGCGATACTAATATTATCGCTCTGTAAACAAATAAAAACTGTTGTTTTCTTGTAAGTCGCAAAAGAGGACGGGTTCAGATTTCTGGTTTACCTTGTGTGCCAGAACACAAAGCACCGAATCATGGACGTGTGTTACTTAAAAGATCTAGCCGAAAGATAAGAACCTGCGGCAACACAGTCGATACTTTAGCAAGCGAGTCTGTTTATGGTGCCCTAGTCGTCAGCCAGCTGACTAACGTTCTCAAAAATTTCCTCGAATGAATCGGTTGCCCCGATTTCTAAGTACTATGCCATGTCACTATACCATGTCAATCACTAAACCATTGGTCTCATTCTGGTTGCCTCCAAGCCATTGGCGCTGTGGCGTTGCTTGCTATGGAATGCTGTCCCAGAGAAGTATACTACCATCCTACGGACTTTGTACCTCCATGTTTTCAGAAAAGGGAGGGTTTTTGGCAAACTTCCTTAATCCTTTGCTGTCAGTAACCGGGTGCCACAGGGCTGCCATATATTTCCGTCCCACTTCGGTTTTACGATTGCAGATGTGCTGTCCAGAGCTCTCACGGTATACAAACTCTTGGACAGGAGCTACTACCAGGCAACCGCTTTACACGATGCCATTGATATCGCCTTACTTAGTGACAACTTGCAGAATATACGAACTATGCGATTGAGGCATCTAGGCACGCTAAACGCTTCGCCCCTTCGAAGTGTAAAGTGCTGCTCCAGGATTGGCCCACACTTGTTCCCTTGCTCAACCTTGAGGACACACTGCTTATACAGATGGACCGCTTTGTCTACTTAAGGCGCTGCGTTTCAGCTGGTAGCACCACTGGTAAAGAAGTTTCTTTCTGCATCACTAAAGCTCGGCCAGCATTTGTCAACCTGAAGCACTTGCTGCCTTGTCAGGTTACGTGCATCTCGACAAAAGATAACGTTTACAGTGCTTCCGTTTGAGCGGGGTTGCTATATTTTGTGAGTCACGGCTATTTCGCTTGCATGACGCACCAGCTCTCGATCTTCGACAATAGGTGTTTGACGAGGATTGCTCGTGTGTGGTGACAACAACTTACCTGCAGCGATGAAATTAGACTTTATATCTTAGGGAGTTCATGTATTTCCTTTAGCAAACTGGATTTTTTGCGCCATTTGTGGTGGCTGGGTCATCTTCCGCGGAAGCCGTCTGAAGAGACTAAGTGTTGATCAGCCGTCCATCTGGCAACAACACGAAATTGCTGACGTCACATCTAGCAGCCTTGGATTCACACGAGTATCTGGTTAAGGACACAAAGTCAAAGAATGCCGACGCTTCGTTACGCACTCAAACAAAATCAGTAGAAGATTTGCGTACATGTGTTTAATGTCTAGCAATTGAAAACAACTGTAAAGGAAATGGTAGTTTATTAAAAACTAAAATAAAGTGTTTCGTTATTGTGTGTGCTGCTTCACATTTGTCAAACGCAGACGATTTCGACCATATACTTGAGCTTAACCAATCACCATTATCACTTGCAACGGGAAAAAAGCATAATAAGCCGCTTCACAATTACATCTTTGACTAGAAATGTGGAAATACGGGACCATCTGACAGGATGAAGGTTAACAATTCCCTGTATGACACGAAGTGGCATAATGCACATGAGTAAAGGACATTCACAATGTTTGTATAATTTCTTGAACGCCTTATTCGCCAGTTGTAACGAGCAGAACACAGGTACCAGCCGAGTCGAACTTGATATCTAAATTTAGAGACGGTTTGCGATACATCTGCGACAAATCGAGCATCAACCATCGAATGAGCATGTGATCAGTGCGTCGACGCTCAGCCTGAGAACCACTGTATCCACCTGTCATCTTGCATTTCATTTCCACCTTAGGACCTCCGTCGATAATGGGGGCCAAATGAACTGGTCATGAAATTGCGTCACTGCTGATTCCACTGCTCATTTACGCTTTCCTGAACCAGTTGGTACCGGTACGTTGGAGGAGTCTGTGGAATTTATTTGCTGTTCCCACTACTTCCACTTTCTGGGAATATTGAGTCCTTCTGAGCTCACTGTTGGTTCACCAGCTCCGTTTTGATTCACTCCTGATAGCATTATGCTCAGTGCCGACGTAGACTCCTATTCCGAATTATTATGAGGTCGCTGAAGTTTTGGATATCCAGTGCTCGGTGCAGCCATGACCGGTAGTAACTCAAGCTAAGTTTCCTAGAATATGCATATATACAAACATCCAATGACACCGAAGTTAGCTGCCTACCTAACGAAGCGTTGTTAAGCAAAATGCCTTGGTAGGCTTACTTTGTCGCGATTTGTTCCTGTCACTTTAAAATTCATTCCCCCATACTGCCCAACAGGTGTTTTTATCCGCCACGCATGTGCTGTTTGCCGTCAATGTAATGTAAGATCAAAAGTGGATTGATCAATTTTTTGCGGATCACCAACTTATAGCGTCTATCGACTTTTTTGTCGAAGCGCATTGTCTAGTGGCAACATGGCAACTCACTTTACCTATTTTGCACCCGACATGCAACTTTTCCATGTACGATAAACTTTCTTCTCCTTCAACAGACATCTGAATTCAGCGAGTCAAATGTGAATCTTTTTACGGGAGTAAGTTCGATCGATTAGTGACTTGAACTTTCTCCCATTATCTTATTTCTGTCATTTTAATCCGACCGTCACCGATAGTCCCGATCGTTGGCCTAAATTCATATCGGAGATCCACAAGAGGTATAGGTATACTGGTGACCACATGATTTGTTCTTTTTCTTGTCCTATGGAGCCGGTACTGTGCTTTTTGGTGATGCACACAGATCTTAACTATCCTCTTAATTACCATTCTCTCGGTTCATATATCGATTCGACGTCATTTGCAAATAATGCTTCACATTATTGCGTCTTGTCTTCAAGGTTTTACTATACTGTACTTCGATCCAAAGAGCTTCTAGTGTTCACTTGTAGTTCGTTTAGCTACCCGCAGTGTGTTGGATAAAGCAATCTGCCGATGTGGATTTCGTCTGAACACACCCATTCCTTAACCATGCAAACGCTGCCTTAATGCTACACACAGCCACGCTGCTCCTGCGTTTTATGCCATAGATTATTTGTCTTAATCGCTCGCATTCTTCTCACTCTTTCATTTGCCGCCCACCATCTCTGCTGTCGTTGCCCATCTGCCACATTCAGATTTCAGAATCCATCTGGGTCGATGCAAGATTTGGCTGCCAAAGAAGCTCTACGTCAGTTGATCAAGGGTTGATTGAGAGATTGGGAATTCCGTCACATTTAGCATATATAAGCATCACAGAGCGATTTAAGAACATAACAAATCGTACACATAGCCTAGTACGCTGAGTCGAATTCAATTCTTACTCAGTTTTGTACAAGAAACGTACTGGGAGCAAATTAAAACGCTCGCGATAACCATAGTTCATGCTGCGAACCAATGCGGTGTAAATATGTGTGCGAACACGAGAAGATTATTACATACTGCATAACAGGCGCGACTCACTCGGTCGACAATGAACAGTCATTTGTTAACTCATCCTACGACTTGACTTCAGGCATTCACGTGACGTTCAACTTGTTAGTTAATGCATTGTGCAGACTCTGTGCAGCCTCAGTGTTCACGTGAGTCTCAGAGGAGTGCGAAGCTCAGGTGCCAGGATCCAGCCTGGTTAATATAGAGACATTACAGGTGCAACCATTGAACAAGTATGAAACGGAGCATCCTCGAGATGCATGCGCACTTCACTACTGTGTCATAGGGGTTCTATCTAATTCGCAGTGGCGTCCATCTCCGCACGTCATGGTGTGCGTCGGGGTGCCGGTTGTTATTCCGGGATGGATGCTAAGCGGAATTGGACTACTCCATGCTGGCTCACATGCTTCTCTGATTACGCGAGTCATCTGATCTGGTTCAGAGCATATGCACCCAAGCCCGTGCGTTACAGTGGTTAGGTTTCTATGATCAGGCTCTTATCGATGACAACCCATTGGCACAAAGTTGGAGACCTTTGATTCGTGCATAGTGTGTTACCGAAATGTGAGCAATCGGACTAAACAAAATAGTGAACTCGTGTTGAAAACCAAAATGATCGTGGAGAACCGTAAGTCTAGTCAGGCCACGCCGATCTCGTGTAATTGAACCGTGGGTGGATCACGTGCGCAGCTTGACCCTTGCTCTTACCATTCGTCATTTTGCCTATGAGACTTACTGTGACTTTTTCGGCTCGGTTCAGCTACTTGCTGTTATCAGTTTTCTGTTTCTGTGCAACTCTCTTTTTGTCTTTACAGGGTGTGTATCTTGGTTGCCGATTCGGAATGGCGTGTCTCTACATCTGGGCCGTGGGGATCTTGGCTGCTGGACAGTCGTCTACAATGACAGGAACTTATTCAGGCCAGTTCGTCATGGATGGTTTTCTCAACATTCAGCTGAAACGATGGCAAAGAGTGCTGCTCACTCGCTCGATAGCCATCGTACCCACTTTGCTGATCACTGTGTTTAAGGGTATGTTGAATACCAATTACTCATCCCTATTTGGTACACTTAACCTATCCCTTCTGTATTCCTCAGACAACAGCCGCCGCACCATAATGCTTGGCTACCTTGCCTGGTTTATTTAGCCTCTAGCGCGGATTCATTTCACTCCAATGAACAAAAGTTACTTTGGACTACATCATGGAGCGAGTTTGGTTAGTTACCATTGCGATCGTATCTACTTCATGCGTCAGGCTTACGTTTAATAACTGTCCGTCTCGAAGATTTGGTTCCTACCACCCGAATCACCCCCACAACTTTCATTCGGTTTTGCTGTAGCATGTCATCATTATCATCAACAGCATTACATCCGCCATTTGAACTGTTGCTTCGCTGCCACACAACCATGACGACCTATGAAATAAAGAATAAGAAGACGGAGAGAAGGGGGACTTACCTGAAAACCTTAATGCCCTAAGCAAACATTTCGGGGTCAAGGCGCCCACACCATGTATAGACAACAAACAAACAGCTGGCTATCGTGCAAAGATAAGGCGGCATCGGCGAGACAGCTTCCTTGCGGCTTTCACTGCCACGCGTCAAAATCAGTCATTACCCCGCAGATAACTCAGCACCAAACACACTTTAAACAGGCAATCAGATTAGAAGACGGCAGCAGACGCGCCACTGGTGTCGGTTGCGAGCCATGTCCTGTAAAGTCTCCAGCCAAGCACAACGCGAGTCACGTGGACTCCAGCCCGGAAGGCGAGACGGACTAACGGTACCCAGATTGGTCATCATTGTCTTCATTTCCCGTTGCCAAATCAACCTCTGTCCACCGCGAGCCTTGCGCCACCCTACACCTGGCAGACTAAACAAGGCCCTCCTAAGCAAGCCCTCCTAGGTAAGCAGTGACCAGGCATACGTAGCACGTGCCCGAGCCAACGCAACTTACCCAGTGCTATCTGTTGTCCTAGGGAGCCAGCATGATTATCATTACCTAGTACTCGCCTACGCACATCATCGTTGCGGAATCGCTGGTGCCATCCGACTCCAGCAATGCTTCGCAAACAACGATGATCAAAAAGTTGAAGACGCCTCAGGTCTTCAGACCGATGGGGCCAAGTCTCACTACCATACAGCAGAACGGCCCTCACTGTAACCCTCACTGCCTTTCAGACGAAGGGAAACTCCCTTTTGTCGCCAAACATGCCGCAGGTTCAAGAAAGTAGCTCTGGCTTTTACAATGCGTGAGCTGACGTCAGTTTCTATGCGCCCATCATTGCTGACGCAGCTGTCAAGATAAGTGAAATGATCAACCACCTCGAGTTCCTCGTTAGCAAGCGTCAAGGGGTCATCGAGTGGCTGGTGGTCCTGCAGCAACACTTTGCACTTTGAAGGTGCAAAGTGCATACTAAATAATGGGACCACTCTGGATAGGCTATTCAGGGTTGATTGTGCCGCCCCAACATCGTCGAAATGCAAGACGATATCGTCCACGTAATCTAGATCAACTAACCTTTCACCAGGCAGCACTTCAACGTCTACATCGTGAGATTCCGCACGCAAACGCTCCATGATAGAATCCACGATGAAATTGAGCAAAAACGGGGAAATCGGTCAACCCTGACGAACGCCACTTGTGGTCGGAAAGCTATCCGATAGGACACCATAGACCCTGACGCGGCCTGTAGTGTTCGAGTATAGAGCACGAAGGATGTTCACATATTTCGTGGGAACACCTTTCCGCGCAAGTATTTCGAACAGAATCGATCGATCGACTGAATCGAACGCACTCTTGAAATCGAGGAACACAGCTAATGTCGGTCTGCTGTGGGCGTGGCGCTGCTCTAGCACCTGCCGCAAAGTGAATATATGGTCTATACAGCCACGTCCTGGGCGAAAACCGGTCTGCTCTTCCGTAGTCCGATATTCCCGTTCCACACTGAGGCGACGAATGAGAATCGAGGCCAATAATGTTGTCACAATTGGCGTTAGGCTAATACCCCTGTGGTTAAAACACTCTGTGCGACTTCCCTTCTTGTATATTGCCACTATAATCGATTCGCTCCAATTAGCCTGGACGCTCTCTTCTTTCCAGAGACATTCGAATAGGGAGGTCAATGCTTTGCAGAGGACCTCACGTCCATCCTTAAATAATGCAGGTTGGAGGGTATCCGGGCCAGCAGCACGAAAACGATTGACGACTGTAATCGCGTTTCGGACCTCGGCCTCCGACGGAGGCTCTAAACTAATCATCAATGGTTCGTCCTTCATCAACTGAGTAGGAAGAGGTCCGGTTGCAGGAGGCCAGCTGAACTGATCTTGAAAGTGTTCCGCCCAACGAGCCATACTGCGTTCCTTATTGTGTATCTGCGCACCCGCGCTCTCTCTGATTGTCTCACTGACGCCTGGTTTTTTGGGACCAGTGGTGCGGATTAGCTGAAAGAACTTGCGGTAATTGCCTACTGCCCCTGCCTCCTCCATTTTTTGAGCCCTACTTGTCCACCAGGCTTCCTTGTCAGCACGCAGACTCTGCTTTAGTTCACGCCTAATAGCCCGTCTGGTCACATTGTGTTCAGAGCCAACCAGGAGGTGTCTTCTAGATTCCAACCGGTTCACCGACCTGTCGGATATCCAGTGACTGTTGCGGTGACGATGGATAGTGCCACAAGCAGATGCTTCTGCGTCGTGCATGACCGCTTATATCCTATTCCACTGAAGCTCATCGTCATGTAGACAAGACTGCGGAAGTTCAATATGCAGTGCGTCTTGATAGGCTTGCCTGACCGAGGACTGAGACAATTTCTCAGTTGCCAATCGTAGGGGACGCTTGGTGCGCCTCCCGGTAAAGTTCATGAAGAAACGACAGCGTATCCAGGCATGATCAGAGTCGACGCAGGTATACCAGTACTAGCGGCAATCCAGGATAGAACCACGCCAACTGTGACTTATGGCGATGTGATCAATTTGGGTCCATCGCTGGTCAGCTATAGGAGGACGCCAAGTGGCACTTCGGCGCCCACTGTGTCTAAAGTCAGTTCTACTAAGAAACAACTGGTGCTCCGCACACAGTTGCAACAGACGCTCACCGTTGTCAGTCCGTTCGGAGTTAAGCCCACACTTACTACTTAGCTGAGCTTCTAAGGAGCTCAGACCCCCTGCTTGTGCGTTCATATCCCCTGCAAGTACTGGAATATCTGAACTAGTAGCACTGCGTAATAGCGCGTTCAGTTCGTGATAGAATGTGTCCTTGACAGCATGAGAACTGCAGTCGGTGGGAGCATAAGCGGAAATCACGAACAAATAGCGTTTTATACTACTTCGTGAATCAACCTTAGCTGATGTCGTCAAACTGGCTGCACATAAACGGCTGTTCACCGGGATCCAAGCAAGCGACGATGGCTCAGCGTTGGAGTTTAGAATGATACCTACACCAGCTTGACCCGTGAGTGCTGCATCGGCGTCTTCGGATGCGTGCAACCAATAACGAGAGGATAAGCCGGGTGCAGTTAATTCAATAACCCCGTCAGGGTCATTGATCCTAGGTTCGGACACACAACACACATCAATACCCAGTGTGTCCAAGGTGCGTGCGAGTGCAGCCTGTTGACCTGTTTGTCTTAGAGTGCGAACATTGAATGTCGCCATGGAAACGGGACAGCGTGGCCTTATAAGGGACTTTTGCCGATGGGTGCTGTGGGATGGTGGCTGCAGATGGTTTTACTCCAGTGGCATTTCGGTTGCTGTCAATTAATCTGGGAATTATGGAAGGAAGGTTAGTAATGGGGGTCGGGAAGGGAGTAAGAGTAAAAGGTGGAAAAGAAAGAAGGGAGGCGCCAGCAGTAGCATGTTTTCGCTTATCCGCCCTGTTGTATGCATCAGATAAGGCGACCCTTGATAATCTGTGTGACGGCTGATGCAGGATGAAGTTTATGTTTGAAGGAAAAGTCATGGTTGTATGTGGGCTGAGATACTGTCAGGGCGCCCAGGCCTAGACAGGAGGACGATTAGGGTCCTCATCCAAAGCCTTTGGCTCCAAAACCTGTCCGCAAGGCAGCGGAGAGGTGGCAATGATTTAGTTTTACAGAAATGGACGCCATCCCATTTCAAAGCCTCAACCTGGAGGACCAGGATGAAACGCGCGTACAGTGCTTTTCCGGGCGTGTGACGGCTGTCTGATGGAGTCTAGACATAATAATTATAAGCTCCACCACTGAAGACCATTACACCCACCCGAACGACATATTCTCCAGAATAGATTCACATGAATTTCGTGTACGTTCAGAGAAACGCGAGTTTATGATGCTCAGTCTCACATACCTTGGCCCGGTTATCGACAGTTCCGGTCGTCGGTTAGACCCAAACAAAATAAAATCCATCAAGTTAATGCCACACCCCATGAACAAGGCTGCTTTTCATTCTTTCTTAAGTCTAGTTAACTATTATCACAACTTTGTCCCTCAGATGCACTAACTCCGGACCCAACTAGATGCATTTTTGGCAAACGAGTCAGTGTGGCATTGGTCTTCTCAATGCCTTTGATGACATTAAACAAATATTGTCCTCCGATCTCGTTTTAATTCATTAGGACCCAGCGTTACCAATAATTGTCGCTGCTGATACATTGCAAAACGATATCGGTGTTGTCTTGTTGCATCATTTCCTTAATGAACGTCAAATGGTTGTGATGCATATTTCCCGCGCGTTGACCGCAGCAGAAAAGAGTTACAGTCAAATAGAGAATGATGGCTTAGCGCTTCTTTTTGCGGTTAGAAAATTTCGCAAGATGGTGCATGAGTGTAACTTTACTATGTACACTGCTCATAAACCTTTGTTATTTATTTTTGACACCAAATTAGGAATCCCCGTTCACACGGCGAACAGATTGTAGCGTTGGACAACTACCCTGTTACCATACGATTTCAATTTGCGGTTTAAAAGTACCTCTTCCCTTGGTCATGCCGACGTATTATCCAGACCGTTTGCTGACTGCACGTCCAAGGCACCGGATGAAGACATTGTGGTGT